CCACCAGTCTGATTGGCAGGAAAGTTTTGCACAGAAATTCCAATCTAGACAATATAGTTTCATGGAAAATCTGCTAACTCTTCTGGTGGGATGATGTCCCTCATGCCAGTATCTGCTGAGTCATGCCTTCAGCCTCACTGCTTGTAGAACTGAAACCAGGCAAGAGGACCAGGCAATTTTTCCATTGGTTACTGAGCATAATTACTTTTTTGCATCAGAATTAATTATATTAGCCATATTAAAGAAGAAGAGAAGAAGAAGAGATTGGATTTATACCCCGCCCTTCACTACCCAAAGGTGTCTCAGAGTGGCTTACAAACTCCTTTTCCCTGTGAGGTAGTTAGCGCTGAGAGAGCTTTTGACAGAAACTGCTCTTTTTCAAGAACAGCTGTGCCAGAACTATGGCTTGCCCAAGGTCACCCAGCCAGGTGCAAGTGGAGGAGTGGGGAATCAAACCTGGTTCTCCCAGATTAGAGTCCATGCACTTAACCACTACACCAAACATGGACATCATTTGGGATGGTTTTTCCCCAGCTGTTACCTGTCTGTATCTCCCTACTGGAGAATTGTTGACTGAAACAAGAAGTAAGAAAAGGGTTTATTTGATGCATGAGGCATATTTATGGAGGCCAAGGCTGCGTTGTGGAAAGGGCAACAGACATAGGCTGTATGCCACCCTATGCCAACTGACATTTATTTGTTCTATTTCATTCAGTAGGCTTAGACTGGAGTAACTGCATAGGATTGTGCTGTAAGAAAACTATGTCCTACGAGCATGTTGTCATACCATGTTTTGTATAACAGAAAAGTGCGGTTCATAAAATATTTCTCTGCGAAAGTATTATTATATAGCTTAGCATTTGGTGTGTGTTTTTTAAGACTGGGTCTTGATTTTTTGCTTGCTTAAATTGTACTTAAGCTTCTCCATCAGTGTGCTGTGAATTTCAGTCACTGTGTTCCATACCTTCTTTGCCACTGGAAAAGTTCTGTGTTTGTAGGAACACTTTGTACTCTTAAAGGTTTTGTATCATTTACAAAAACAGATTTACATCAAGAAAGATATTTTTAAGATGCTATAAAAACAAACTTTGTCTTGAATGGCAGCTTAAAAAAAATAATAAGGTGATGTATTTTGGATACCAAACACAAGGACCTTAAAGTGCTATTGTGGATAGGCCGTGTTTTAACTGGTAATACATTGCCATCTGCTGTTTTCAGGAGGACACTACTACAGTATTATTGTTGATTTACAGATGGTGACCCATGTGATTTGAGCAGACAGATTGAAATTGAAGCTTGTCGCATGAAGCTCTTGCCAAGCCTTTTGTAGAACTGTATTAATAATTTTCCTTTGTGTATGCATTTTTCCTGTTTCCCCCCACTATCTTTGGTAATAAACTAAAAGGAACAAAGCAACTAGAAGTAAGCTTAATTGTGATTCTTGTAGAAGGAAAGATTTATGTATGAAAAATGGCATCAGCAGTCACTAATACAAATAGTTCTGTATTGTCAGTCTGACCAGAGTGAAAGGACTTGCTGTACAATGAGTTAGTATTGATTTTTTTTGTCTGTACCCTCTTAGCTTTCTGACTCCATTATTTTTGATTTTACTATGAAATATATATCCTTTCTACTGACATCTGACAAACAATATATGGAAGTCATTTTATCTACCAATAATGTGTTTGTCAACAATATTGTGGACTAATGGATACAGCTTCCTTCCAGTCCATTTTTATCCAGTTAATGTCACCAAAGTAATTCTGGAAAACATTCTGTGATTTTGTTCCTCCTGGGGACACATCCTCACATTGCAACTATCATTCACATTAGAGCACTCACAAATACCAAAGGTCACCCCCAGCATCTGCTTACAGTTTTCCAGGGCATGTGTGTGCGACAAAAGAGACATGGATGTCACAACTGACATGCTGCATATAATGGTCTCAGTTTTCCCCTACACAGTTGTGTTACTTGTGACTGGTAGAGGAATATCTTCATCTGTAAAGTGGATCTTAAATACAGGATTGCCTGTGAATCTTAGAAACGGGCTTGGGTATATCTGGCCTTGAGTTGTCATGGTTATAAAATACTTTCCAGTACCAGAGTGACTTTCAAATGCATCAGCCACCTACTGGTTTGTCAAGAAGAGAGAAGGGGCAGTGTGTGGCTTTCAGCACCCAGTTGGAAAATGCTGGGGACAAATGGAATGACCACTTCTGGTAACAAAATGCTGGACTAGATGGACCTTGGCAGAGGGATCCAGCAAGGCAGTTTTCTTGTTCTTAGCCCTATACTATATTCAATTCACGTCATTTACCCAAAGTTTACCCATGAAAATTATTGCTAGATATGCAGATAAAATACACTCTTGAGCTGTGGCCTCCATTCTACAATATAAGTTTGTAACCCTTAGTATTATATAACTACTTTTGTCTTTATCTATGATTTTCTATTCTCTCCATCCCAGCATGTGCATGTAGATCATTTCATCATCACTCACACCATCGTACTGGTAGTGATGGCTGCATCCTGTGGATGCTTAAGAGCAGAGGTCATTTCGGGGGGGAACGTGGGGGGACGCAGTTCCCCGTGTGAGGTGCAGGGGGGTGGGGCACATGACAAAGCTCCGCCCCCTGCTTCCGGCCGCCCCGCTTCCAGCCCTCATTCAGCCAGGAGGAGGCAGGAGAAGAGGGAGGGTAAGTTGCTTCCTCCCTGCCTCTCCCCACCCCTGCCTGCCTGGGGCCAGGGAGGGCCTTCGCGGGGCTTCCTTGCACTCCCGCCGGCCTTGCAGGTCCACCGCTGGGCCCCTCATGAGGCTCGGCAGTGGAGCTGCAAGGCCGGCGGCGGCGGCCGGACCATTGGGGGCGGGGTGTGTGGCCTTATGACACACTTCTGGTGATGTCAGGGGGTGTGGCCTTATGACACACTTCCAGTGATATCGGGGGGTGTGGCATATGCTAATGAGTTATGCTAATGAGTTCCCCTAGCTCTTTTTCTACGAAACGACCCCTGCTTAAGAGTATGTTCAGTGTCAAGTGAGGAAACTCCACCTTTTCTGAGTCTGACACATTCCAGCCGTTTGAGAAGAAAGCCTGCGTTTGCAGGGCTAAATTTCTTTCCATAGCTGAATATGGCAGACTAGGGTTGTAATATTGCCCTAGCTGTTAGGTTGAGGGAGTACAACTATACAGTAGATAACATTCTCTTCTGACTTTGAACAAGTAAAGCCTTTACATTTAACCAAACATATTTGTGTTGTTCATCCATAGAAATAAATATTGATATATGCTGCTAGGTAAGGGGTGATATGCTTAATACTCTATGGTGCTGGCACTAAAAATAATCAAGGTTCTCTTTGGAGAGGTATGTCTAACAGGTGTGTTGGATGACAGATCACAGCTCCTCTTCCCCGCAAAAGAAATATTTTCTGATAAATATCACCCACTAAAAAAAATAATAATCTTGTGCTGCTGTGAAGTTCTGTCGCTACTCGATGCAAACAGCTTGGATTAACAGTGGTGCATTAAACTACTAATATTTATCATATGTTGTTTTATTGCCATTATGTATTTGCTTGATTCTTACTTATTTCTAACAGAACTGAAATATGCAGCACTCATATTTATTAAAATGAAGTTTAAGGGAAATGGCTGTCAGTCTGTAAAATGAAATTTTCCTAAATCCACCACATTCTTCCAACTTTTTCGATTATGATAGACTGGGGGAAAATGATGATGATGATGATGATGATGATGATGATGATATTAATAATAATAATATACTTTATTGTCATTGTACATAGTACAATGAAATTAATGGTGCAATCATTTCAGTGATCTACAGCCATACTCACATACACTCACACAACCATTCACAACCATCCCATAACTCTCTTAAGGTTCACATTGCAACTTAAACCACCAATGTCACCCAAATTCCAATTTCAGACAGCATTTAAAGCAATAATAGCTCTCGAATAAAAACTATTTTTAATCTGTTTGTCCTTGTTTTAATTGTCCTATATCTTCTACCCGAAGGCAGCAGTTCAAACAGGGAGTGTTCAGGGTGTGACAAATCCTGCAAAATGTTCTTTGCTTTCTTCAAACATCGAGAGCTATACAATTCCTCCAGGAATGGGAGAGGACAGCCAATAATCTTCTGGGCTGTGATGATAACTCTCTGGAGTGCTTTCCTATCCACAGCCGCACAAAAGCACCATTAGAATATTTAAAAGTTATGCATGAATCAATATGAATATTTTCACAAAGTTGCTCAGGGACTACAACTTCCTTTATAGAATCTTCAATGTATAATAGTGATTCTTAATGTGATAGACCTCCTTGGGAATCTGAGAGTAAAGATGGGTGAAATTTTTATAGAAGATAAAAGACCAATCTCTACTATTTCCAGGCATTACAGTGATGTGTCCATCTTTAGATGTATGTTTGGTGGTGGATGAACACATGAAACTGCCTTATACTGAACCAGACGCTTGGTCCATCAAAGTCAGCTTTGTCTACTCAGACTAGCAGCTGCTCTCCCGGGTCTCAGGCAGAGGTCTGCCACATGATGTACTGCCACATCACCTGCTTTTAACTGGAGATATCAGGGACTGAACCAGGGACCTTCTGCATGCCAAGTAGATGCTCTATGACTGAGCCACAGCCTCCCTCTGTACTCATAGCAACATGAGACAAATTCATTATTAGTAGCTCTGTCATCAGCACATGTCGTAGTTAAGAGTGTCAAGCTCCATTGGGGAGAATGGTCTGGTATAAATGGTAAAATAAAAAGCGGAGGCAAACGTTTCATTGTTTATTAAGTGATTTTGGCCCTTCTTCTTCTCTGAAGACAGCAAGAATGGTTTCTCCTTAGCAGAGTCATAGCTTGCCTTCAAGTTTTCTATTTCCAGAGCAACAGAAATAAGTAGAAAACTATTACATAGCATTTATGGTAAACTTATGCTAAACCATACTGATGTTATAATTCTTCCATAGACCAAACCAGCCTCGTAGAACAAGTGAAACGAGTAAAAGAAATTGAAGCAATTGAAAGTGACTCCTTTATTCCACAAGCATTCAGATCAAGTAAAGAAGTCAAAAAGGTAAGTTTTCAATTCTCTTTGTTGCAGGGACCCCCTTGTGAACTGGTACAGAATTGATACAGTGCAAGGCACATTGACTATTACATTTTTGTTGTTGTTCAGTCGCACAGTCGAGTCCGACTCTTTGCGACCCCATGGACCAGCTCCCTCCGGTCTTCCGCCATCCTCTGAAGTTTGCTCAACTTCATAGGTTACTGCTATTACTAGAAATCCTAATCTCTGTAGTCAGCAGACAACTATGGATCCAGTCTGGGAGTAATAACATATTTAATATGTTCCAAGAATCATGTTTTGCCTACAATCATTGTTTAAGTAATCCACCTTAGGCCCTGACCTGTATCGCCCAGGGTAGCCCAGTCTCAGAAGCTAAGCAGGGTCAGCCCTGGTCAGTATTTAGATGGGAGACCACCAAGGAATACCAGGGTCGCTATTCAGAGGCAGGCCATGGGAAACCGCCTCTGAGTGTCTCTCTCCAACATGGGTTAGAGCAGCCCCACGGGATTGCCATAAATTGACTGTGACTTGATGGCCAAAAAATAAAATAAAATTCACCTTGGGTCTTGGTGAGAAAAGTGGAAGATAAATGAAGAAACTAACTAAAATAATTTGTTGTAGAAGCAATGGGACATGAGTATTGTTGCAAACGTAGCTCTTTGACCATATTTTGCATGTTGAAATAAAATTTATCAGATATTGGCTTTGACCCAAAAAGGTGTAAAGTTGTTTTCACTCGTGCATGGGGGCCCGTCAGCCTCTCCAGTCTGGCTGTAAGCCCAGCCCCCCAACTGTGCCTTCTCTGGAAGGTTAAGAATCGCTAGTGCTCTAGCACTATGAGAGGCTGCAAAATGACCCAAAATATATATGCAGCTGTGCTTTTGGTTGTACGCCCATGCTTGTCTGGAGCCAAGCCACTGTTGTAATGAAAAATCTTTTTATATATTTACCAATAGAAATTATCAGATGCAAAAGTCATCAGAGAGAATTTTTGTTCATTAAGGAAGCTCTCTTACATAGGAAGTACAGGTTTAGGAGTGGGTTGGAGCGGCCATGTGGTGACTGTTGCTTTTTGAGGGCTGTTTCAAACATTATTGTTTCCATCAGTTGAGCCGTTTGTCAGAAGAAAGGTGTTACCTGTAATGTGCAGAGGACCTATGCTGATGTTCCTACTTTTGGGCTTGGGCTTAGCTGACAAGTGCTGTGTGTATCCAAGGTTTTTAAACACAACACTCACGAGCCTCTTACAACAATTGCACTTATTTATTTACCAATGAGGCCTCTTACCCCAGCAGAAGTGCTGATGGCAGAAAAGCCAGGAGTGGTGAATTCACGTGATTCCCCCCTTCCTCACTCCTACTCCTCCCCCCGCCCGCATGGCTTTTGGTGCACATGGATCACCCACCTCCTCCCAGGATGGTCAGAAGATACTGCTGGGGGAAGGGGAACCTGGTGGAAGATCAGCTTCACAGAAATCAACCCTTTCTTTTTATCTATTGTTCCATACCATTAATGTATAAATACTTGCGGAACTGTTTTGAGACTTTAGTACATGGGAAACTACGAATATAAATAAAATCAAGATATTACAATCCACAGAGATCAGAGGCCATAGGCTGCTGCTTCCCCTCTGTCCTTCTGTGTTCTGAGGAATCCTGTAGGCTGTTAAACAGGCTTGGCAAGTCTCTTTAGGAGAACAGAAAGAATTCCTACTACTCAGTAGGGTCTCTCTTTGTTCATCCCTCTGCTGCCACAAGAAATAGATAGGATCCAGTGGTGCCCTTCCATTTGTGGGGCTTTGGCACAGGTAAGGCCTCTTTTACACCTCATGCTAGGACGTTGCATCAAAAAGTGAAAATAAATCTAAAATGTGTTCCTGCAAGAGACTGCAACACAGTCTCTTGCACACGCAGAAGTGTAAGAACTCCTAAAGGAGCTACCTACTGTAGCACAGCATGGACTCTTGTATTAATATTCAGAGAACAGTGTGAGTGCCTATGTTCTCTTCACAGTTCTTTGGACTGAACCCAGTGTTCCCAAGGTATTCAAAGTAAGAATAATTTGGTCCTAAAGATGATGACTCTTATTCTGTATCCTATCATTTCCCTCTAATAGGTGACAGAGCCTGTTGAAATAAAGATTGAACCTGCAACTGTAGCCGTGACAAATGCTGGTCTGATTAGTAATGAAAAAGAAACAGTGACTGCAAGTATACCTACTGCTATCAAGTACCAAGATGAGAACTCACTAGCCCATCCCAATGTAAGCATGGCATTACTTGGATTAACAAATTCATCTGGAGGGGAAGAAATTAGGTTATATTAAACTTCTTTCACAAAACAAACATTGGAATCCATAACAGGAACATTGCTGTGTAACACTAAAGCACTGTTGCTGTGTTCATCCTTAAGGAGGGTAATTGAAAGATCTTTTTTAGTTATTCTTTAAAAAAGATTTAATTGGGTAAACCAATATAATATATTTGTGTTAAAGGAAAGCTTTTATTTCTCACAATTTTATGGTAGATTTTCATGTTCACTTGCATCCTGGAGAGTGCATTCCTCCTGTATCCATAGAGAAAGAATACTCAGTTGAAATGTATACTCACGTCTACCTAACAAAATATTGTAATTAGTAAGTGAACTGTACATTTCTGGAAGTTTTGAAATTGGGGGGGGGGGGGACAAAAATTTGGGAGAAATTGAAATATATGCAATACTTACAGTCCTAGGCTTATTTTGCTGCTATAACGATATAAAATACATAACTTTATACATTGTTTCTAATTTTGTTAGTTTAAAGAATTCTACTCATTGGCATATTAAATGCCTACGCTTTCCACAAGCAAAATTGCAAATATACCCAACACTTGTGAGAGAATTGCAAGCTCCTGCACCCTATGGTACTGTAGCACATGTCTTAATTTCTGCCATCTGAGAGGTAGGAAAAAAGAAAAATTGAAACAAGAAAACAAATTTTATAGTAAGGAAATGCATTATTTGGACAGATATAGGGCACTTTCACAGATGCTAATTAATGCAGTTTCAGTCCATTTCAGCGACTGTTCACAAGTGGATTTTATCATTTTACACAGTGAAATCCAGACACAAAGTGCATTGCAAGTGATTTGAAAGTGCAATATTTTGAGTGTGAAAGCACCTAGTAGGACTACCACCATTTTTGAATCACAAGTTAAACTTAGTAACATTGAAAACACCAAACTCTTTAATGATTTATTATCAACAAACATAGGATGGTGACATTTTACATAGGCTCAGAGGCACCAAAAATTGTTCCAGTGGTTAAAACCCAATTTGTAACCTAACAAAGGTTAGTAAAATGTGAAAAAGAGGGCCAATATTAAAAACTAAATGTAGAAAATATATATAAGAGGATACATGTATTTATTAATTACAAATTTTAAAACATATATAAGGGCCCATTCACATCAAATATATACATAACATGGCAATACACACGGGCTTAAAAACATGACCTGACGCATTTCGGCCTGCATAGGCCTTCCTCAGAGGTCAAACAATTGAGTGGCAAGATGGCTATATAAATATAATACAATCATGTAGACACAATCAGAATGGATACAAAATATAAATTCAATATGGACCAGAACACAAGTTGCTGTAAAACCCAATTTGTCACATTTGTATCTGAGGTGCTTGGTGCAGCCCTTTAGGTTCAAACAATTCTGTGAAATAAGTTGCACTGAGAAATACCTATTTGCCCAAAGGCATCTTTCTGGTTTGCATCATAGCTGAGCTTAGGTTTCCTACCTCCAAACCTAACAGTCTGGCTTTTGTATTATCAAGGCTCCCAGTGAACATTGGTGTTAATTAAGCCCTGCGCTTCTTCCGCAGATTGAGACCCAGCATGGTGTAGTGGTTACAGTGTTGGACTAGGATCTGGGAGACTTGGGTTCAAATCCCCACCCTGCCATGGAAGCTCACTGGGTAACCTTGAACCAGTTGCACACTCTCAGTTTAACCTACCCCACAGGGTAGTGGTTGGAAGAATAAAATGCAGGAGGGAAATCAAGTTCCCATTGGTGAGAAAGCAGGGTGTAAATGAAAGCAGGGTGTAAATATCTAAAATAAATAAACTTTCATGACTCACTGTACAATTTATAATATATATATTCCTGTTTTTCATTCAGGAAACCTTTCCCATACCAAGGCATATAAGGACTACTCAAAGAACCTTGACCCAAACGCTCATCTTCCTTTCAAATGAGCTTCGGCCTTTGTAGATGCTCTTTGCAAACCTGGGGAGATGCACTAGAAGAAAGTTTGAGTCCAGTGGCACCTTTAAGACCAACAAAGTTTAATTCTGGGTATAAGCTTTCATGCACATAAAAGCTTATACCCCAGAATTAAATTTTGTTTGTTTTAAAAGTGCCACTGGACTCAAACATTCTTCTGTTGCTTCAGATCAACACGGCTGCCCACCTGAATTTTTTTTCTGGGGAGATCTGTGAAGAGTTCAGTGATTTGATACAGGGTTTAATTTGTAAACTGAAGGGCTAAGCAGTGATAGAAAGGATGCACTCTTTATAGCACTGACTCTTTAGCATTTACTCTTTATAGCACTGACTGCTGGCATTGAAAACGGGTTTCTGGGCTGAGCTCTGATGCCAGTTGACCAGCTTGCCAATAAAATGCTAACTTTTACTGGGACACTTGAATGTATTGTTCCCCACTGCACTACCATTTGCTTGAGCTTTTTGGCAATGAATGTCACTGGGGTATTGTCAAGCAAGATTCATAAACTCTAGTCCTCAGCAGGGCATGTGCATAAGTTGTATCTTTTTTGTTTTATTTTGTTCTTGTAGCTGTTTGTTGACAAGGCAGAAGCTGAAGAAAGATGGTTCCAGCGGCTGATTGCCCTTCGACATGAAAGGCTGATGGGCAGTCCTGTGGCCTGAGCTAACAGCCTACCGACTTTCACAGTCTTCTCTGCTATGAAATTCCAGGGGTAAAACTGGATGAGTGTCATGGTAAATATGGCCTGTGTCAATACGACCCTTTGACACTGACCAGGATGGAACTGGGGTGAGAGGGGCATCAGAGAGGGAACTGCCATGTGGAGAAAGAGGCCTGCCATTGAGCAGCCGGTAATGATTTTTTTGGCTGTACTTTTAGAGAGAACCTAATCCTGTTGAGAGGTGTGTGTAAAGGGTTTGTTTTATCAACCCATTTCCCTGGTGTTGCCAAATACAATATAATGTCTTTATAATTCAGAACTGAAGGTTACCCGTTTTTCATTGTCAGATACTATAGAATGTATACATTTTCTACCAAGAGAATTAAGCATGTCTCTTGAGTTTTTTCTGTTCTTTGACATTGTCATTTAAAAAATTTCATTGCATGTTTTGCTGCCAGTAACAGATTATTCTGAATACAGATAGAACACAGGTGCATAGAGAAAATGGGAAATGGAGAGATGATCATATGGCTTTCTTCAGACAAACAACATATATAGAAAACACACACATTATGTTTTAATTCTGTTTTGTAAAAATCAGACATACCACAGGAGATATTAATGTAGGAATTCTTGAGGAGGTATTTGTGGTTTCTTGATGGAGCAACTTAAGGATACATCCGTGCAATCCTATGCAGTTGAACACCCTTCTAAAGCAGGCTTAGAAGGATCTAACTAAGCATAGGATGGCACTGCTAAACTATTCTGTTTTCAATTCATGCTCAGTGGTTTATTTATTAGATATATTTCAAGTGTTAGGACTGAGGACTTTCCCTGAAGTTAAAAATAAATAAATAAATAAATAAATAAGCCTAAGTCTCCATCAGGCAATACTGAGTTGATTTTAAGATCTACAGTTGCTTGCTTGGCATAGAAAACAAATCAGTAAGCTAAAGTATTTAGTATGATATGTATACATTGTGCTCATTGAATCCTCCTTCAGGGAAATTAGCTCATATCCTCTCCCATACCTTTATATATACAGTGCAAGATCATTCTAGCAGAACAATAATGTCAACCAAACTTTGTTTCTTCCCTTAAAACCCCTGTTTCCCTATCTGCAAGATAGATGGAAGCCGGAAGAGTGAGAAATGGCTTTTCAGTAATCCAAGCAATGGAATCACAAGTAGTTGAATCTGTTTCAATTAATGTATGTACTTTTCCGATAACACTTTTATCTTATTAATAGTGTGTGACTCTGTATTGCATATGATTTGTAAAATAATTTTCTCAGTTTGGTCAATAAATAAAATGAAAACATTCTCTGAATAGCATGGTTACTTTTCACAATGGCTTGTGCCCTGCTGATCAGTGTAATCAATGTAAGATTTTACATGTATTTTTTTCTTCTTTTTCCCCAGAGGACCCAAATTTAAGATAACAGAATATCTTACATGAGTAGCTATAAAAATAAAACACACAAATCACAATGCTAGAATACCAGCCTCTTCAACCAGTTACAAGTTTGGCCATTCATTAAAAGCCAGGGTCAAAAGCAAAATGGATTTTTTATAGGAGCCCACATACAACTTGGTATGTCTTTGCGTCTCCCACAAAACTCAGTGGTATCTTCTATCACCCTCTCTCTCTCTTTTGCATTTTCTATAGATGGGCCCACAACTAGGCTACCTTAGATTCCCCCACCAACAACAAGAAAGCGAAAATGTAAAACTGCTAGTGTGCAATGGACTTTCTTACCCTTCCAGTAGTCGCCATCTTCTATAATGATAGTGGAGCCTTTCCCAGATATTTTTATAGCACCAGACCTAAAACCGACTTGTCCCAGATAGAGCCCTCTGGCTAGATAGTTGGAGTCTTTCTCCCACTTACTACTGTCAATTCCTACTTTGTCAGTACAGCATTAGAAGCAGCCACATGGATGTTATCAAGCTGGCCAGCTTTCTTTGGATCTCAGTGGCCTTTCAGAAACTGCGCCTCTGACTAGTGAAGTTGTGACTGCTATGGTTTGCATTGGCCTTGAATCCCAGAAATGGGAAAGGATAGAAATTATCGCTTGGATACGACACAACAAGGGCCCTTTGGGTTAGCCTCTCCAGCAAGAAAGGGCTATAGCAGCCTGCTTTTGAATACATATCCTAACAGTATATTGTGGAGAATGGCAAAGGGGATAGTATACCATTATGCCAGAGGCATTTTGGGACTCTACATTATAACTGGGCCTCCTGGGCACTTGGATTCTGCCCAAATGGTAATAGAGCAATATTTTTCTTTAGTTATGTTGTTCTTGTTTTGGTTTATGGTGCTGATGTTTCTTTGACCTGCCGGTATCTTACCTATTTTGTGATGATTATGTTTTTATTGTTTATATTGTTTTTCTGTTAGCCACCCTGAAGTTCCTTGGATGGAAGGGTGGAGTAAAAAAGTTTTAATAAATACACGAAATAACCTTTTGAGATGATGCACAGCCACATGACATTTACTCTTATCATGGGATCTAACACTCAATTTATTCATTAACTCACCACACTGTATTCCACTTGCTAGCAAGAGAAAGCTGGACCTGATTCTGTCTGGCCCAGCATGCCTCACTTGCATCCTAACAAGACCCTCCGGGAATGCTAGTTTGTGGCAGGGCCTTATGGCTGCATATATAGGGTAGAAAATATATGGGAAATGTAATTTCCAGGTGGTAAAGCTTCCATAAATCCTTGTTTCTCCCCATGTTAACTCATGCAAAGGTTTTAATATGCTTAATTTGCATCGTTTCTGAAAGCCACAAAATTAATTGTTCTCAGCACTTAATTTGTTGTATTTTGGTCAAGGTTCTTGTGTTAGTTTTGTAGAAAGGACACACATCATGGTTAAAATAGTCTTGCAGCCCTGCTCTTGCCTAGAACTCAGTAAACTGAACATTGTTGGTATCCCCATCAGTCGGTTCTTGCCTTCCCAGGGGATATGCTGCCACATTCTTTTCATTACTCTGAGGAAGCTCAGAGTCCAGTCAGATAACTCAGGCTTACCAGTTAAGATCCTCTTCCCAAACCCTGTCCTCTTTTCCCCGTTCTACGATGGTAAGGTGGGTGGTAGCTAGAGACAGGGCTTTTTCAGGAATGGTACCTCACCTGTGAACTACTGTCCCTCTTGAGGCTTGCCTGGCACCTGCCGTACTGTCCTACAGTGTGCTAGGCCAAAATATTAATTTTTAGCCCAGGCTTTTTTACTGAAGGGGTTCCATCTTTTTTAGCTGTTTTTATGGTCTGCTTCTAGCCTGCACACTGTTTTATGGGCAATCATTTTAGACTACTGAATGTTATTTTATGCTGTTTTAAAGCCCCTAGTTTGTTTTTATGGCTTGTTTTATTGTGGATTATTCTTAGGTAGTTTTCATGACTTTACTATGTTGTTTTTATTTTTGAACCATTTTGAGCAGGTCTCTGGATCAACAGCATAGGTGTGTGTTATGTGCCACCAAGTCACTTCCAATTGATACTGACCCTATGAATTTCTGACCTCCAAAATGTCATGTCATTAACAGCGTTGCTCAAGTCTTATCAAACTGAAGGCCACGCCTTCCTTTATTGAGTCAATTCATGTCATGTTGGGTCTTCTTTTCTTCCAGCTGCCTTCAGTTTCTCCTAGCATTATTGTCTTCTTCAGCGAGTCTTGCCTTCTGATAATCAGACGAAAGTATGATAGCCTCAGTTAGCTTCTAGGAAGAGTTCAGGCTTGCTTTGATCTAGAACCCACTTATTTGTTTTTTGGCCATCCAAGGTATCCATAAAACTCTCCTCCAACACCACATTTCAAGTGAATGAACTTTCTTCCTGTCAGCTTTCTTCATCGTCCAACTTTCACACCTATACATACTAATGGGGAATTCTATAGTATTAATTATCTTGATCTTGGTCTCCAACAACACATACTTACTCTTTAAGGGTCTTTTCCAGCTCCTTCATGGCTGCCATCCCCAGTCTCAATCTCCTTCTGACTGAGCCAAGGGATAGAAAATCTTTAAAAACAGCAGGCACATTTTCAAAGTAACTAAATATGGCCAAAGTGATACAATGCAATGTTGGGTTGAGTGGGTGTGATCTGAGCTATATAATGCTAAACTCCTAAAGACATTTTATGAGGCCATGTGACCCACTGAAGTTGCAGTACATGCTTGTAGTAAATTAGTCATAAAAACCCTTTGCCAAGTTCTGCTCAGGTATTTTCATGCTTCCCATGGCAGTGTGGTCATGTGGACTGATCTTCATTGGGACCCAGTCTCAGAGCCTCTGCACTATCTCTCCGATACGGCAAGTAAAGTAAAAACCTACTTATGTATCAGAGGGGTTTTTTTAAAAAAAATGTGGTTATTGAATGACAAGCCACAATTTTCTTTTAACAATGTGTTTTAATGTGTGGATTGTAAATGAATATCTCCTTAAAGAACAACAGAACAGTGTTCCAATGGAATAGCCTGCTTTATAGATTTGCAGCCGTATGAATATTTTGTGAGAGATACATCACAAGCTACTGACCTCTGACACAGTATAAAAGATTTTTGTTGCGTGACTACAGTATATAAGCATTATTTATTTACTGATAAATTATTGATAGTCCTCTAATTCATGTGTGATGGGAGGAAGTGGGCCTGCAAGTGACTTATAAGTGGAAGTGTGTCAAGAACCTGTAGAAATCAATGATGAATCTATCTACAGTTAGTCCCAGTGTAGGTTCTGTTTATGCAGCAATGATGAATGGCAGATCTGCTAATGGAGATTTAAAAAAAAATGTTATCAGTGATTAATGAGTGGAACTTGGAACGCTGGAAGATGCGTTTGTTTTCTGTAGTGTGTGTAAAGGATTTCTTGCTTGTCTTGGAAATATTACTGGATATTAATACGGGGTGGGGGGCACATTTAAGGATTCCTTTTTCCCCAAAGAGGATGTCCAAGTAATTTACAGAGTGTATTAAAAGAAGTCTTATACAGTGTATTGATAGGGTTGAAGTCTTGCCAAGCATATGTGTAAGTGCACAAGAGACTTTGAATTGTTCTCTTAAAAAATCCCCCTCAGTTAACATTCAAAGTAATATCAGCACCAGTTTTTATCTTCCTGTCCATGACCCAGATGTGTTCCATTTGCATTTAGATCCAAGCAATTTCTAGAGTAGTTCAAATGTACTAAAATGACAAAGGTATTCTCATCATTTTAAACATGAGTTATGTGTTCCAGAAGCCTTTACAGAGAAGATATAAAATGCACATGAAACTAAAGACTTAGCCAAGAAATAACTGATAGAAAATTAGGCATGGGGTGCAGAAAGCGAATAGAGAGGCCCCCCCCCAATAATACTATAAGTCAGAGACACCCTATGAAGCTAATGGATGATAAATACAGGACAAACAAAAAATTACTCAACAAGTAATTAAATTGTGGAACTCACTGCTAGTGGACACAGTTATGGCTATAAGCATAGGTGGCTTTAAAAGGGAGTTACACAGATTTATGGAGGGCAGTTCCATCAATGGCCATTAGCCATGGTGAATAAAGGGAACCTCCACATATAAAGAGCAAATCTCTTAATACTAGTGCTAAGAGGGAGCATCAGAAGACCGCCTTGGCCTGCCTCTGTGCTGTTCGTTGGCCTTTCAGGACAACTAGTTGGCCACTGTGTGGAACAGGAGGCTAGAAAACCTGGAACAGTGGTCTGATCCAGCAGCCTCTTACGTTCCTTCATATATCAGATTCTTTCTCTGCATGCTGTTCCTGGACAAGCTCATCAAATTCAACATTTTTCATTACCAGCAATGTGCTGATGATACCCAGCTCTCTCTCTGCCCGGGAGCTTTCTCTCTCAATCCAGTCTCACAGCTTCGATTCCTTCCCTGATATTTCTGCTTGGATATTTTATTGCTGTCTCAGGTTCAGTATTTTGAAGACTGAATGTCTCATGTTTCCTCTTGAGCTCTCCTCTCCTTTCATATTCTTCATATCCATTGACAATTTGATCATTTACCCTTTTGCTCATATATGAAGTTGTGGTTCCAGCTTCAACTCCTGCTTTTCCTTAGCTCCCTTTCTTCAGTCTGTCCCCAAGTCATGTTGCTCTTCTGTGTACAGTATTATGAAAATACAACCCCTCTGCCTAAGACTCT